ACATCAGTGTAATATATATTTTAAGTAATGAAACAATCTAATTAAAATTAGATGTTAGATCCGCTCGCATACTCGCTACACTAACGTAGCGTAGTGAGTATGCGAGCGGATCTAACATCTAATTTTAATTAGATTGAGTAATGAAATGATTTGTGATAAGATATATATCTATGTTAATGTTATCATAACAAAAATTGCACTAAAATAAGATGGTAACACGTTTTTGTGTATTTGCACTCTTCGGCGGAGATGCGAGGTTCTGAAGTAAAAAATAAACATACTAGATGCTGGCTAGGTTGACCTTTTGACCTGAACGGTTCCCAGAATATGCGATTCATTAGAATGCGGTTGTTTACTTTTTATCGGAAGATGTATTTGGTTAGGAGGAAGAAGGAACCAATAGTATTGAAATGACCAGAGGTCAAATATTTGGATAAATTAGCTACAACAAGTAATATTTAAAGATTATGCAAAAGATTGGAAATTATTTTAAAAGTGCATTAGAAGTTTAAAAAGTACTCAAGGTCAGATAAATAGAAATTAAAATTCAAATCATAATTTAAAGTAATTATTGCAAATTTCGAAGGAGTTACAAATATGGAGATGAAAATCTACAAACGTAAACCTAGTATGAAATGAACGGCCGGGATAGACAAGATTTCAGTGGAAAGCTGAATCTTGACCGTCTTGGTTGTATTTCATACAGGTGAGATAATTTTCTAGACTTGCGCGGTTTTTGTCAAATCATTAAAATTTTCACATGGCTTAATTTATTTACATGTTACATTTTTTTAAATATTAGAACTAATAATGTTTAGCATAATGTTTAGTATATTGTTTGAAACTATTTATTGTAATCATAAAGATTACAAATATATTGTTTAATTTAATAAAAAGTGGAAAGCTGAATCTTGACTGTCTTGGTTGTATTTCATACAGGTTGGCAGCCGCTCTGGTCTACAAATTTAAAAGGAATTATATAATAAAAGAGAATAGCGAAATTGAGTAATCCCGGTACCTCCACAAGCCAAGCGAGTTCAAAAGGAATAGCAAAAAAAATAGTCATCCCGTTAACTCTTCACGAGTGTCAGTGAACGAGATTAACCCGACAATGGAAAGCGCACACTTAAAAACTTTATATTTATTTATTTATTTTTTTTTTTTTTGATGAAAAATGATGAAGAGTCCTTTAACTTGACGGCAGATTCAGAAGGAAGTTGGTTAACCTTTTACGGCAAAATTTAATAAGATCCTGGTGGATATCAAACATATGCATGATCGGCCCAATGTCATTCGGGACTCTGCCTTCCTAAACCTTTGCTGGTTAGGATTTAACATCAACTAAGGCTGGAGTCCAGAATGAGGTTGACCCGGTTATGATAGGTGGTGGAGAATCCGGTCGTAAAGGAAAACCCGTACACCATGCATTTAGGTTGAAAGGAAAGTAACAAACTCTTGCGAGAGAATCTAATTAAAACCTATAAATGAGAAGGGCCTTGAAAGATAGTAAAGGAATCCCCGTAGACTATTTGTTTAGGTTAAGCAAGTTCCAAAATAAATCCTAAAGGGGAAGGGCCTTGAAACATAGTAAAGGAAAACCCTTATATACCTTTCATTTAGGTTGAAGGTTAAGTCAGGACTTTATAAAAGTCAACCAAACACGGGGTTTGGTGAGAAATATTTGAAGGGAAAATGATCGTAATGGAAGGGATATACATGTAGTTATTTTCCATTCTTCCGATATAATTACGAAAATCATTGCTCCTTTAGACTTAACTTTTAATTTTTTTTTTCAAAGCAGATATGCGTCAGATATAGGACGATATGTATTTTAACAGGATAAAGTCTTGTAATAAAAGTGTATATCATGTGGTACTGTGAGAAACATATTTTTGTGAATTGTAAATCAAGATTTTTTACGGTTTTTTATCACTACTGTGTTTTTCTGAAATAAAAAAAAGGGTCTACCACTGCCCAGAGGGAGAAGAAAAAAGCAAACAAGAAAATTGTACATAGTATTTTTCGTGTTTGTTGTGTTTTTAAATATTGTAATTTTTTTTTTTTTGGAAAGTGTATTTTATATTTCTATACATTTTGTATGCATTTAGATTACATTATATATAGTAATATGTCTATGTGTTTCCTTTGTAAAAGCCATCTGAAAATACGTTATGTTTACTAAATTTGAAATGAAGTTTAAGTCGGCGCGATAATATCAAATAAATATCACTTTGAACACTCGGTTTTATGTCAAATTCGCAGCAAGACATAATTCTGTATCATAAACTCTTAAAACAAATCTTGGGGACAAGATTTTTGACAGTAGGGGGAATTTATCATAACAAAAATTGCACTAAAATAAGACATGTAAGATGGTAACACGTTTTTGTGTATTTGCACTCTTCGGCGGAGATGCGAGGTTCTGAAGTAAAAAATAAACATACTAGATGCTGGCTAGGTTGACCTTTTGACCTGAACGGTTCCCAGAATATGCGATTCATTAGAATGCGGTTGTTTACTTGTTTATCGGAAGATGTATTTGGTTAGGAGGAAGAAGGAACCAATAGTATTGAAATGACCAGAGGTCAAATATTTGGATAAATTAGCTACAACAAGTAATATTTAAAGATTATGCAAAAGATTGGAAATTATTTTAAAAGTGCATTAGAAGTTTAAAAAGTACTCAAGGTCAGAATAATAGTAACTAAAATTCAAATCAAAATTTAAAGTAATTATTGCAAATTTCGAAGGAGTTACAAATATGGAGATGTAAATCTATAAAGGTACACCTAGTAGAGCGGCCGGGATAGACAAGATTTCAGTGGAGAGCTGAATCTTGACTGTCTTGGTTGCACTTCATACAGGTGAGATAATTTTCTAGACTTGCGCGGTTTTTGTCAAATCATTAAAATTTTCACATGGCTTAATTCATTTACATGTTACATTTTTTTTAAATATTAGAACTAATAATGTTTAGCATAATGTTTAGTATATTGTTTGAAACTATTTATTGTAATCATAAAGATTACAAATATATTGTTTAATTTAATAAAAAGTGGAAAGCTGAATCTTGACTGTCTTGGTTGTATTTCATACAGGTTGGCAGCCGCTCTGGTCTACAAATTTAAAAGGAATTATATAATAAAAGAGAATAGCGAAATTGAGTAATCCCGGTACCTCCACAAGCCAAGCGAGTTCAAAAGGAATAGCAAAAAAATAGTCATCCCGTTAACTCTTCACGAGTGTCAGTGAACGAGATTAACCCGACAATGGAAAGCGCACACTTAAAAACTTTTTATTTATTTATTTATTTTTTTTTTGATGAAAAATGATGAAGAGTCCTTTAACTTGACGGCAGATTCAGAAGGAAGTTGGTTAACCTTTTACGGCAAAATTTAATAAGATCCTGGTGGATATCAAACATATGCATGATCGGCCCAATGTCATTCGGGACTCTGCCTTCCTAAACCTTTGCTGGTTAGGATTTAACATCAACTAAGGCTGGAGTCCAGAATGAGGTTGACCCGGTTATGATAATGTTATGAAATATTTATTATGTTTACATGCTTTGTAGGGTTGTTATCATCTATAATTATAAATATCACAATTGTATTGTATTGTATTGTTTATTACCAAGAACCATACAGTTCATAGGTTTAACGTATATACATAAATCAGTTGTACAGTATATGTATAACATTTCAATATCATTTGAACATTAAGTAAAGCAGGATCATAGAAAAAAATTTTACAAACTATTCATTCTAAATTCATAAAGCAGAAAAAGCACAATAATATAAAATTAGTAATAGTAGTTGTGAGGATAAAGTCGTAATATCAATTCAATTTACATCTGCTCTTAATTTTGTACATTTATAAAGATATTTTCCCAGTTTACATAACTCTGTTACATTTTTTGTCGACAACAATTGAACAAGTTTAAAGGTAGAGGGTTTTTGGTGATAATATTTCTTAATATACTCTTTTCTAACATTAGAAAAAAATGGACAAACCAGAATAAAATGATACTCGTCTTCAACCTCTGACATTGAACAAAATTTACATAATCTTTCAATTAAAGAACCCACATCAACCAAACTGAGTTTCCTTATCATTATTTGGGAAAACCCGGTTACAATAGCATATCTTGTATCAATAAAAATGCAACCCCAAAATTTAGGGTGTCGTTGGATAAAAATTCCCATGCTTAATTGACTTAAAAAATCTCTTTAAAATATACTCACATTCAATTAGTTATTTTCAACATGTTTTACCGTGGGTATTTTGGAAATATTTTATTTTCTTCTTTACAATAACGTTGGTATTCTATAAATATGGCAGAGATAAACAATTATGACACGCTGGGATGCCATACACTTTTCAGTAAAAATGCATAACACGGCGTTAGGTGCCTAGTCGTTTAATTTCTTTAAAGTTTCACATTTTGTGAATAGTGCACAAATTAAAAAAAATATATGAAATACTTTATTGGGAAATAAAGACAAACGAAGTGTAGTTATTTGTTTTTAGAAATTATATTGAAAAATAATAACGCCATTGTGTCCTCTTTGTTACCCTAGCAGTGTTTGTCGTGTGATTTTAAACTTATTTGACAACCATATAAATTAGGTTTAATAAAAATAAATTCCCAAGATACTGATGTACAAGTAACAGTAACTGGTATAATGTGCCGTTGCTTTATAGAAAGTTGCACGGAATACCCGATTTCGCGGATTCAACGATACCCTTATATCGGGTATTATACGCGATTTCATGGATAATACCCGATTTCAAGTATTCTCTCCAACCTGTTAAAGTCCCTATACCTGTATACTATAACTTGAACCAGTTAACTACATTGTGTGTACATACTTACGAATTTTCATCTTTCAATTCTTGAACAAAAAGCAAAATTGTTTAAAACTTACTGTACATCAAAACACCTATAAATTCAAAAGGAGAAATAGTCATTTGACATTAAACTAAATAAGCATACTTACTTTATTCTCTGGTAAGTTGAGATGTAAGTGCCAAAAAAACTATATACAGTGTATGATCGACTTCCGGGGGCGCTAGAGGGCGCAATTCACGCCTTCACGCCTCTTCCTCTCACCAAAGGGCGGCTTCATCACCAGAGGCTCATACATTCTGAGCTGCATGGGAGATTGCACCAGCGGATTTCACAACTTAAAAAAAAAACGAAAAAAAAACAAACAAGTAAATTGATGCAAAGCATCAAATCGACCGCTAACATATTTAGCATGTCAAAAAAGTACTTTCACAATTCAAAGCATCCATGCAAGAAAAGCACAGGATATTCAAAGCTGAAATAGTGATCGTTTTTATTTCAGGCCATCTTCAAATCAAAATAAATATTTTTTAAAAATTAATAGATATTAGAATTTTGCCTGCATGCTGTTCAATCCAACTCAATAAATAAAATATATTTTAAACTCTAGAAATTTTAGTGCACTTGCTCATCCTATGGATTTATGGATGTAGAAAAAAAAATGATGAATATGAGAAAATATTTTCATTAAAATGAAGATGTATAGGCCTTTCAAGATGAACCATGTGCTGATACCCTGGATTTTTGTCACGTGATAATGCCTACCTGGTTTCTGCAGAAGTATGCTATGCTGCATGGTGCGGTGCAAAATGTATAAAAATAATCTTTGTGTCATTCGCAGCTGTAGGATTTTTAAAAAAGTTTTTACTAGTTGAGCAACTTTTCATTTTTCATTCACCATGAACTTTTACCATGTGCAATTCATTATTAGCACCAAATGAATGTCTATAACACAATGCTTTTTATTTGGTTATAATATTATATATAATTATTTTAAAATAATTTTTGTATACTTTCATTGATCATCTTAAGATACATAAGATAGATTTAGAACGATGAATTTTCCTTATATTTACAGGCCGTGCTGTTCTTTCTGAGGGGCAGATTCCTTGTCAGCGTTTTCAGTGTATGTGATTCTAAAGTCTAACTTTAGATCCGCCGCTCTGTTCGACATATACAGTGAACATATGATTTTTGTGCTTCTGTTCTTTTAAAATTCAGTGAATGGATTAGACGCCATTTTCACCCTTTAAAACCCGCTGACTTGAAAGAAAATAAGTTAAACTTGTACCGATAATGGAACTTAAATGTGATTTAAATATTGAATATGGGTTTGTATTAAAGATTCAAACATGAAATATAATTTGTGTTTATTTCTTTTAAAATATTAAATGAGAACAAGAGGCCCATGGGCCACATCGCTCACCTGAGTAACTTGGGTGATGCAGAATTTACCAGATTCCCCCTCTTGCTATACCTATCATGCCCAACAACACCCTTCTCTTTTTTATATTAAAACTTTAGAATCTACACTACCCAAGGATGCTTCCACATAAGTTTCAGCTTTCCTGGCCCAGTGGTTCTTGAGAAGAAGATTTTTAAAGATTTGTTCTATATATTTCTATGTAAAACTTGGATTCCCTACTGTGGCCCAACCCTACCCCCGGGGGTCACTGTTTTAACAATTTAATATTTACACTACCCATGGATGCTCCCACATAAGTTTCAGTTTTCCTGGCCCAGTGAATCTTGAGAAGAAGATTTCTGAAGATTTGTTCTATATATTTCTATGTAAAACTTGGATTCCCTATTGTGGCCCTGACCTATCTCCGGGGGTTATGATTTTAACAATTTGATATCTACACTACCCAAAGACGCTTCCACATACGTTTCAGCTTTCCTGGTCCAGTGGTTCTTGAGAAGAAGATTTTTTAGTGACCCAACCCTATTTTTGTCTTTTCTTGATTATCTCCCCTTGTAAGGGGACGTGGCCCTTCATTTTAAACTCCCCTTCACCCAAGGATGCTTTCTACCAAGTTTGATTAAAATTGGCCCATTGGTTCTTGAGAAGAAATCGAAAATGTGAAAAGTTTACAGACGGACGGACAGACAGATGAACGACGTACAAAATGTGATCAGAAAAGCTCACTTGAGCCTTCGGCTCAGGTGAGCTAAAAAGTGACATTTCAGGAAAAATACTTTGGTAACATTTGACTTAAACATGTTAAAATGTTTTAAAAACTTAATTATAATAAACCTTTATTTTTCTAGACAGATTAAAATATAAGAGTAAGTTTTGTTGGAAAAATAGGTAACAGTTACTGTATTAATGATTTTCCAAAACAATACTTTTTAAATTAATTAATCATAAATAAAGATTGAGAGAGAAAAAACATAATTACAGAAAGACAAAAAAATAAAATAACTTGCCCTAAAGTTAAATGACAGAGGCTATAAAAATGTCAAAATAATAAATATGCAAATGAATATATAATTTAAAATTTATTATACAAATTTAAACATAAAATCTACAACAGGTGAGCTATTCAGAGCTAAGTCAGACTAGTAATTCCCCAAAACAATCTTATCATACACTTACCGTAAATCTGGAAATTTTTGCTATAGATGAATTTTTAGCAAATTTGTGAGTTCATTGCATTCGCAAAAATATTTTTTTCTTTTAAAAAAATAAATTACTAATAAGAAAATGTAAACAAAACAGTGGTCATTCGCAAACTTTTGAAATGTAAAAATTAATCAATAGCATTTTAACCCGAATTCGCAAAATAAAATCAACGTAAAAATTTCCAGATTTACGGTATTATAGATTGTTCTTTATTCATTTATTTATTTATGTATTTCATTTTACTGAAAACGATGAAAACTTTCTTCATATGAGAACAAAATATCATTAATTTATAAATTAAGAAAAAAATAAAGTTAGAAGCATCTGCTTCTAAGTTTTTTTTTAAGCATAACAAATAAAAAAATTAATTCTTCCTTATTTAAAAACTTTGTGTATGAAAAATATAAATTTCCTAAATATATCAAAGTAGACTTTTATATTACAACTATGTCATTAATAGATTAATATTATATAAAATCAAAATTAAAAAAAAAACATAACAATAAAATCCAATTTTCCAAGAAGACTACTGTATTAATATGGTGTTCAAAAAAAATAAAAAATAAAAACACACAACTTCACATTTCACAATTTGATTCTTCCATAAACAACACACTGCACACATATATCACGTTCTTATAAAGATGGTGCAGAACTTTCAAGTAGTCACATTAAATAGAATATTTTCTATTGCAACAAAAATGTAAAAATGTAAAAATCATCAAAATAATTGCCTATGCCAGGGACGTATATACTTTAGTATATAGGTCCCTGCCTATGCAAATGATTAATTTACAGGAATATTTAGAGAAAAAATTATTGAGATCAAGGGGAGTTAAAAGTCCCTACACTAAGTAAATAATTATATAATTTTTGGAAGTCATCATTTGTATTTTACATTTTTTCTATATACACTCATGAACTATTTTAAAATTCATTAGTCCTTTGTTTATTCATGTATTTTGCTGGACATGTTTGATGGTCTATCCAAAAAAATCTCCCAATCACAATTTAAAAATTCAAAATTTGAACATTCCCTGTGAAATGAATTTTGAAAGGAGTGTCCATTTAACCTATCAACCCTATAATGGAATATTATGTATCTATTCCAGTGAGTGGTGTCTCTTTTATCAAAGGATCTCTGAACCTAAAATTGTTACAGTATTGACAAGAATCTGCACTTAATTAACATGTATACATATTTTTCTTGTCTTTTATTTATTCAAATGAAGAGTGCATATATATAATTGTTTTATATATTTTCTAATAAATAATGAATTTATCAAAGAAATTATGCTTAAATATTCATACAGGCTTCAGTACTGTTGGCACAGTCATGTAACTTAACAACCGAACACATAACACTGATTTAACTATTCATATCAAAATTTAAACTCAATTTAATACAAAAAAAAAAAAGCTAAATAAAAATAAGAAGAATTTAGCACCTTTTCCTCATTTTTAGGGGGAGAGACACAATCAAAAATACACAAAACCAACTGAAATTGAAATTGAACTTGACAGAACTGTGTTTCATTTAGGCGTTGACATATATCTGAATGAACTTTTTTACACTTTAAGTCTCATAGGATCCGAAAAATGAAGTTGAGGGTAGTTTACTAGTCTGACCACTTTTGTCATAACAGCATCAGGCCCCTGTCTTTGTCCTCTCTGGGCCCTTTGTTTGGAACTCGAGGGAACGTCAGTCCGTCACCACACGGTGTGTGAGTGGAGGGGAAAAGAACGTGCTTCAAGAACGTCCTACAACAAACACATACAACAATTACAATATTTAATTGTCCATATGTATATCAACACAACTGGAGACCAGAAACTGAAGTTGATACACTGTTGTTTGATGAATTAAAAGTAACAAAGATACATACTGTACTTGTACAGATGTGAATTGCATTGTTTCCAAAAGAACACTTTACCTTCCTTTTCCAAGTCCAAAAAACATCTGCCAGTTTTTAATAAATCCATAATGGTAAGGGTTGGTATACACCTGTGTAAAGGAAAAAAATAGTTAAATTGTAACTAAATACAAATTAAATTTTTTGATTGGACAATTATTATGTTATAATTGTAGTTCCCATTTCTAAAATCTTAATGGTCTCATTAAATTCTCAAAATACAGGAAAACCTGTTTAGTAAGAACACGGATTTGTGAATTCACAGATATAGCTAAATTTTTGGGGGGATCCCCAACTATATTAATTTAACAAATTCCTTATATGGATATAATGAATTATGGATAAAGCGAAGTAATTTTACAGGTCCCAGTGATTCCATTATAACCAAGTTTTACTGTATTAATATATCAATTTTATACTATTATACTGTAAACCACTTATTATTCACGTCATCTTTTATTTGCAATTCGTCCGTTTGAAATCAATCTGTGATGATTAATTTTTGCAACAGAGGAAATATTGCATACAAATACTAACAAAATTATTGTTTCAATGCGATTAATATTCCCGAGTTTAAGTCAGTAGCAAAACTCGCGAATATTTCTCGCATGTGAATAAAAATATGTTTACAGTACTTCCTGCTTCTCCTTACCAGTCCTATTTTTTTCTCCTTACCAGCCCTAACTTCTCCTTACCAGTCCTAACTTCTCCTTACCAGTCCTAGCTTTTTCTCCTTACCAGTCCTAGCTTTTTCTCCTTACCAGTCCTATTTTTTTCTCCTTACCAGCCCTAACTTCTCCTTACCAGTCCTATTTTTTTCTCCTTACCAGCCCTAACTTCTCCTTACCAGTCCTAACTTCTCCTTACCAGCCCTAACTTCTCCTTACCAGTCCTAACTTCTCCTTACCAGACCTAACTTCTCCTTACTAGCCCTAACTTCTCCTTACCAGCCCTAACTTCTCCTTACCAGACCTAACTTCTCCTTACCAGTCCTAGCTTTTTCAGCCTGCTGACTTCCTTCCTATTGATGTACACCTCAATATTTGTCTCCCCAAAACTGATCATTCTGACGTGCCAGCACACCAGCAGTAACAGCGCGATCACAACCGCAGAGCAGAGAACAAACTCGTACACCACCGCCGTGTGGTAGTGCTGATACCGCATGTCAACCTCTAGATCTGCCCCCGGCTGGTGCTGCTTCCTCTGATTCTGGTCTAAGGAGGAGTTAAGTACTGGTACAGCTGCTATACCTCCAAGGAATGGTTTCTGTAGAGGACAAAAGAAGGATACTTTAAAATTCAAGACACTTTATCATAATTTTTCAAAAAAATGGAAAAAAGAAGGATCATGCATGAAGTTGCAAGTCATGCATCATTGCACAGCAAATTATTATTATATTTTTGAAATATTTATTAAAGTTCGAATGTAATTTTTTGTTACTTGATCAATGTACTTTTCTTGACCACCCAATCCCTAAGCACTGTGAAATAAAGGTCTGGATCTTTTTATTTTCATTAGGGAGAGGGTAGTTGCTTTTTACTCACATTATGGTCTCCATATATAATGTCATAAGCCATATTGAGTGGATACAGAACAGCTGGGAAGGGGTAGTACTGAAACAAAACAAAAGCAATGTAATAGATTTTAACTTTATTGTTGACCTGAACAATCTATAAAACCAACAATCTGTAGGTCTGCATGCACTTCTGTCATAATATACTGTAGTAAATGTACATGTAAGTGTCCAAAATCATTACCTTGTCTCCATAAAAATGCTGTTTAAACAAGTCAATTCCTGTCACACAAACATATATAGTCCCTGACAACATAAATACACAGAACTGGAAGAAGTAACGATGATTGTAGTACCCGACACAGTTGTTTATCCAAGCTAGCAAATTGTTAAGGATAGTATGGTATGTGTCTTCATTGTTTCAACTTTGTTTATTTTATGAAATCCACCCACGAAAAAACCTATTCTCAATAAACAGTTTAAATTCCAGAATCAGAGGTATATGATAATCCAGCTACTATCTGCAACATTCTTATCTGAAAGTTGTCAGTTTTCATTCAATCTAAATACTGCTTATTTTGCAAATGAAGAAATAGCTTTTAAAAATATGTAAATAAATGATTTGCTTCAGTACCAAGAAAAACTCTAGTAAAGGAACGAGTGGAAAATTTATGGGTACAGTGTATTTCTAAAATGTAAATTACACATGGTATATGATATGGTAAATAGTTCTTCATGAATCTTTACACAGAATTCAGCTACTGGTTACCAGGTACCTTTGTACCAGTTTGTGCACCCTGATTATTTCTCTGCATAAGAAAGGATACGACAATGGTGGTCCATTTTTAGCACACACTTGTCACAGATACTGCAGTGGTGGGCCCGTGGAGGCTTGGGGGATATACACTTCTTACATATAGAAACTGTTTCTGGAACCTCCTAAATAAGAAAAAAAAACATTTTTTTTTATTTTGTTAATGTCTCTTCGTATATTATATGTTTTTCTGGGAAAAATTGTTTCTTGTAATAAATATGTTGATATTTCATACAGCCCATTATACAACTGCATATCAAATCAATTAAATTTTTAACACACATGCAGTAAAATTATTAAATTAAGACTTGATCACGAAGTCCCCTATGTGCATTTAACTCATTAAATAAGACTACAATTACCTACCCTTGGGGGATGGCCTGGGTCTGTGAAGACGGCCATCACATAATTAAACACGATGTTCACCAGTAGCCAGTGTCCAAATATCAGATGGAATACGGTCTTACTGAGACTCTGTTGGTAGACGTGGGGCAGGAGGCAGATGTAGAAGATGACGACCACAGAGGTAGTCAGGCACACCACCAGTACCATGAAAATCTACAATACAATTACATCACTCACTGGGCTACTCTGTATGCTTAAAGATATAATTTTTATTAAATGTACTTAATAAATTTATATTTAGCTGTTGTTTTAACTATGTACTGTTACAGTAAATGTACTTGTTGATAAGTTAGTATTCTTAAAGCAATATGAGCTGCATGTTTGACATCGGAAAAAAATATTTCAAATGTGTTATTAACTATTTCAATTACAGGAAAATAGAACGTTTATAAAATTCTTTTGTTCATATTTGCTATGTAAGAACTTTTTATAAGCTTTGATTGAAGCAAAATTGAATTATTGTCGACCTGTACAATAATTTCTTATATAATGCTGTATATTCGGTTGTACAGAAATACTTCTTCTGAAACATTTTAAAACTTTATTTTGGTCTTATTGATCATAATGGTTTAGATTACATACAGATTAATCATAATTACACATTTTACCAGCAAAATAAAAATTCTCAAAAATGCAGCTCATATTGCTTTAACAAATCAGCATCGTAAAATCAGCATCGAAAATGCTATCATAAAAGCATTAACTTGAGAACATCACTAAATTAATTACTTTAATCAATATTTTCTGCTCTGTTTCCTGATAAGATTCTTATGATTAAATGCACAATTTGTCAAAAAAAAATTTCCTACATACTTGATTAATCTTACTTTCCAAAGACAGCACAGCTATTAAATAAAAAGAATATTTAATAGTATATTCTTACTGGTCCAAAGTATTTGGAAAATTTGTCCACTGTCCAGAACATTGGCTCAGCTGCAGTTTCCAGCCCGACCATGTAGGAGGTGAACTCATTGTAGAACAGGGTCTGTCTTAGAAGAACAAGCCAGGAAACCAGGGCTCGACATCGCGAAACCAGTCGCCGAGGAAACTCGGTCACTCTCCAGTGGACTTGTGCCATAATCTGGGGGACACAGACTCAACATACAACAAAGTTATCGTTCCTCTTCTTCTTTTTCATTCCAGTTTCTACCATGTGTGTAAAGAATAACTGTTTTTCATGATCGAAAATCAAAACTACATGTTAATCATGTAAGCTGCTCCCTCCCCCCAAAATGTGGCATTTTTTTTTTTTGCATTTTTATCAACTCTATGGCTATGCCAATTATTGTTAAATATAAAAATCAATATACTCTAGTTATAAGGTAAACTTTGGACATTTCAGCCTCAGCATTCTGCTTTATGTTAATGGATAATTCAGACTTTTGTCATGTTGTTATTTGTAAATTAAAATAGACTATACAAAGACAATTAACGGAAATGATACTTTTAAGCAATTATCCACTACTTCAAAATATTTATTTCTAGGCTTTTTTTTTATATATGGTATATCAGGAAAAGAACCACGTGCATATTACATGTATTACGAAATGCAAGGCTTAACCATGTTAACAGGGGTTTTTCCTAGGAAGGGTTGATTTGCGACAAGAAATATTTTAACATGCTATATTCTTATTCTAAAACATCATTTACACATACAAAAGTAGACAATAAAGATTTTTTAAATATAAATATACCACCTTTATCTAACTAGTGATGTCTAATCGTTTGAGTTTGAGTCACTTTGACGACTCCACCTCCCATCGGCAATGTTTTTGTTGCGACAACTCTATTTACCTTCCCTACATTGAAGAGCGCTGCATGTCTAAACAACTCGAGGTAATGGTATTTCGCACTAGAGATTTTTCACCGCCAAAAGATTTGAGATGTATATTTTTTACATTTAAAATATTGAAATACTATAATTTACTCAATTATTCCCCAAACTGTATGTCAAAATGTGACATGTTTACATACTAGAATGCACTAAATGTTATTGACATGTATACATGTACTAAAATGTACACTGGGTGCTTCCCCTGTTTTGGCCTTTATTGCAGCCCGGAGGACCGGGCTGCTCTATCATATAAGTTTAAGTGTTGGTGTATGGGGATTGGGGTTGGAGTAGTTATTTAGAATTAAAGGTTTTCTAAACAGGGAAAAGATTGTTAATCAGAATGTTCTTTCCATTTATAAATTACGAGATACATAATATTTACTTCCATAAAGTGAAACTGTAAAAATATATATGTTTTTCATATTTAATATATAAAGTTGATTATCATTTACTATCGAAAAAACGACGTCCCTTTTTTTTAGAACATCGAATTTTACTTCTCGGATAAAAACGTACTCTGCACAGTTCGTGTTTTATATTCTATAATTGAAAATTAATACATTTTTAAAATAGGTGATGCATGTGCCTAACTTCAATTTATATTTTATGCAGCCAACATTTACTTGAGAAATTGATCAAGTTGAAATGGTATCGTTTTTGATTGATTTTCATACGACTATAAGTTTTCAAAATATTCGCGACTATCATCTCCATCAATAAGACGCATGCCTTTTCACACAAATCGAAACAATTTGATGAACAAGGCTCATTTTCATTGTTTACTTTATGTATTTCCCGGGCGACAATTGATGGTTACATCAATTTTTTCTTGTATATGCCAAAACAGATGATAGTGCCCTCTACAAAAATGATTTTTTAATTAAAATTTTGTCATATATTTTTGTAGAAGACAATAGACTAAGCGATTAGGATTGGAAAACGCATCCAACTGCAGCTGGCCAAAGGAAGAAAATTTAATTAACATGATTAAGGCAGGTGTAATTAAGGGTCTGCTTAAAAATATATTCCCCAATTATTTGTTCATACATGTAGCACACGTTCAAAAAGAGCCAAAAATTAGACGTGTCATTATGGTCAAAGAAAAAATATATATAACCATAGCGCTTCAGATCTGCAGCTAGGGTCTGCTTAAGTTCCTGATGAAGATCAAGGTTCCAAGAGGATCTGCCTGGGATTGATGAGTAGATGAACAAAGGAGAAGGTGCAAAACAGGTCACAGGATATAAAGAACTGTGTGACTCTAAAATTAAACTGAGAATTAAAGAAACACTGAGATGAGATTATAGCGGGGTTAAAAAAAACAAGCTAATTCAGAGAATTCGTGTCCCCCGCTTAGGGAAAAAGTCGGCTCCCCCTGACTGAATTTGTAGAATTATTAAATGTATACATGTATACTGAAGCAAATAAAATACATGTATGTCAATATGCATATAAAGATTTGATTGTTTATTCTTCATTATGTGTATAGAAGATTTTTTATATGGAATTTTTATCACACTGTAATGATGATTTTATAACCTCATAAATTTTCATTTCACATGCTGAATACTATCATTTAGTAAAAAAAAAAATAATTAAAAAAAAAAAAAGAAAGGTTCGACCGAGATTCGATCCCGGGACCTCTCACATTTGAAGCGAGAGACTTAACCACTAGAGCACGGAATCGCTATAAATGGTATGAAGTATATGCAGTAGTGAAGTCACATACATGTATATATTCATGTTTTCATGTTCGGTATTCTCAAAATTTTACACAATCCATGGTGTTTGATTTATTTAGCCTTTCTTAAACAGTTCTAATAGATGTAATAAGAACATAAAGTCCGCCGAGAACCTGTTTTATACGCAATAACTCTCCTCATGCCCTTGCGCTAAAAATAGCGACATGTAATACTATAAATACTAATAAAACAAACGGGGCGGAGCACTTTGAGAGGGGCGAGAGACGTCCTAGGGAGTTTTGATATAAAATTACATTGCATAAGTTCAAAATCTTCTTGAAATATCGCCCGGAAATAAAAGTATTACACAAAAACAGAATGTATAAATTTACGACCTTGAACTTTGACCTTTTGACCTCAAAATCAATAGGGGTCTTCATTAGGCCACAGGGAGTTGTTATATAAAATTTCATTGCAAAAGCTCAAATAGTTCTAGAGATATCGTGTGGAAACGAAAGTGTTTTAACAGACAGAATTTGCTTATTTATGACCTTGACCTTTGACCTTTTGACCTCAAAATCAATAGGGGTCTTCTTTAGTCCATAGGGAGTTGCTATGCTAAATTTCATTGCAAAAGCTCAAAGGGTTCTCGAGATATCGTGTGGAAACGAAAGCGTTACAGACAGACAGAAAGACGGACGGACGGACGGACAGACGGACGGACAGACCCAAATTAATATCCCCCACTTTTCAAGCGGGGGACAAAAAAAACATGAACAGAAATCGTGAGGCTAAATTGCGATACATGTATATAGTTAATTAAAAAGAATGGTAAACTGAACCATTTGTAACCTGAATAGGAAAAGAAGATACGATGAATTATTAATACTGCGGAATTCTTGGAGGAGAAAACAGCACTATGTCAGATCAATTACAGCTTGATTTACAACCACAGAAACTGACAAAAATACTGTATGAATACGCGAGTTTCGAGATTGTTACTCTCCTACGAAAGAGGCGCAAAAAGTATCCATTTCAGCATGGAGGTGGGACAGGTTGTTTTCTGTATACATAGGTCCAGGAATAAATGAACGATATTTATGGCTTTTAAAATTTATTAAATGTTATAGAAATATAATAATGTTAAGCAGTGATGCATTTGATGATTTTATCAAGCTCAATTATGCATATTTACAAATCTACTTTCAATAATAGGGTACTTGAAAACGAAAGAAACGTCTTAGTAACTGATTTTCTTGATCGTACAAACATTTTCTTAAAAAGTTAGTTGTTTTTTTTAAGTTATAATAAGGACAAAAATCAATATGTCATTTAGATTGCCCATGTGCGACGATCAGATGCATGTATAACGTATTTATTAGAGGTACATATCTCTGTAGTATAAATACGTTAATTTACATCGGGTTCGGGGTTGGTCTATATGATTACAGGTCACCTATTTTTAGCGCCTTTCTTCTACCCGACACTGACGAGCATAGACGCACCTTCGTCCCTCTCTGGTGTCCTCGGGGTTTGAGGCCAGTCTTACCCTTGGTAAGCTTGTTTGTATTTAGTAAATAGAAATATATATACAACATTGGCGACGAGGATAATTCGGTTATATACATTTTTTTTCTGATCAGGTGAAATTTACATTGTTTACCGTAGTCACTCAGCCATTGGCGCCAAATTCAAAACAAAACACAATTCGATTTTTCGTTCTTTACTGATTCTTTTTATTTTCACAATTTATTTCAGTTTACAATCACTGGTTGTTTACACAACTAGTATTTTCTTGTTTTCATAGTATTTTTTTTTTCTTTTCTCACAATGGATTCAATCAATTTGCAATCAGCTTCTGAATTTGAAATGCCAAAGATCCTAGATCAACGTACCATAACTGATGTTATAGGAATTAGAAAACGATACGAGTTAAATGCAAATATTCTAGGTAAATGTACAGATGTATCAGAGAAACAATGGAAAAAATGGGAAGACAATGGAGTAGTGTCTTTTGGTGGTGCTACTAGTTTAGAGTCCGATGTGTTCTATGGCATGAGAGATCATGATACTAGTACGAAAGAGTTGAGTGTTAAATTAGAGAGACAGGAAGAGCAGTTGCAATTAGAGAGAGAGAGAAGAAAGAAAGCAGAGTTTGCTTTAGAACAAGAAACACAACAGAAAAAATGGTTAAGTGCTATGCCACCAGATAGCATTTACACAAGAAAACACTCTGACAATAAACAATCAGACACAAAACAAAACAGAAAAAGCAAAAATCAAGAAACCAAAGACACACATATTCATTCAAGATCAAGCATGTTTGCCAGCACACATGATGACAACACAAGAGGTAGAAAACATCACAGAAAACCAAGATATCAGTCCTCTTCTTCCTCCTCATCTTCACGATCCTCCTCTTCTTCTTCCTCTAGTAGTGACTCTGACTATGACAGACGCCATCACAAACGCAGACACAGACAAAAAAGTCGCAGTCCCACATCAAAATTACATACATTTAGTGGTGACGGTAAGATCAGCTGGGACACGTTCATCACACAATTCGAAAAGGTAGCTGACAGGCATGACTGGGGAAAAAAGAAACGTACTGACAAATTGTTCACTATAGTTTAGAGGGAGAAGCCTTAGAATATGTCTGTAAACTTGATCTAGACAGCTACAAAAAGATAAAAAAAGAAATGAGTAGAAGGTTCAATACTAAAGAAAACCCAATCTCAGCTAGACGCAAGCTACAGTACATGAGACAATATGAGGAGGAATCACTTCAACAATTTGCACAAAGAGTTCACTTCATCACCATCGATGGCTACAAAGAATCGGGCAAAAGAGCAGTCAATCAAATATCAACAGAAAACTTCCTTAGAGGATGCAGGGATAAAGAAGCTGCCAGGACTGTGATGGAAAAGAATCCCAAGGACATCCATGAAGCTCTAGATCTCATGAGGACTTCAATCGCTAAACAACAAGTGTTTATGGATCTAGCAAGCCCTTCTATCACAGACAAGTTTCATTTGAACTATCTCCAATGCAACAAACAGAAAAGTTAGAACAAATGGAAGACAAAATTTCAAAACTTACCAATATGGTCTTCAGTGTTAAGCAAACACTAGATGACACATTTTCCAATGCTGAGATTTCAAGAAATACACCAAGGTTTGAATCTAGGTCAAGGTCAAGCAGTCCTATGAAGTACTCTCAACCCTTCAGATCTAACAGTTCCTTCAAAAGCACTCAAAATTCAGTTAATTATAGAACACCAAGTTCATATAGGTCTACTCCATCAAAACCACAGTCCTCAACCAACTCCCCAAATTTTTCAGAAAATTTAAACTCCAGAACAGCTGACCGTAGCCTGGTTAATGATGAACAACAGGGTCAGAATTTTCAAGTTAACATCAATCAAATTTCAAATGGTTTGACTCTGGAGATTCCTTTTGTTGTCCATGGCCACCAAACAACAGCAGTTGTTGACACAGCAGCTACGGTGACCTTGGTCAATAAAAGTATTTTCCCGGGTGAAAGCAATTCCACTCTTACTTCACAAAACATGACACTCAAAGGTTTAGTGGAAATGAAATAGCAAGGCAACTGTACAAATGTTTTGTGTCAGATAGGATCTCAATCATTCTCTATCGATATGTGTGCAGTTGACATGAAAGAAACAGTAATTTTGGGGTTAGACTTTTTAGAGGCCAACCATTGTGTTATTGACCTCAGGAAAAATATCTTAGAAATTGGCAATCAAACAATAACAGCAAATATAAGGAACATACAAAATGAACAAATCAAAGTTGCAAGGGTAACTGTTAAAAGTAGAACTATCATACCAGCAAATTCAGTAGGGTTTGTCAGCTGTGCTCTAAATAGGCCCTTAGACTTCAATTTCATAGTAGAACCCTTTGATTCTTCAAAATTTCTGTGTTTTTCAATTCTCGGTGAAAGTGAGACTCTGAAAGTGAAGGCTATCAATGACTCAAACAAAACTGTAAAATTAAAAGTAGGTCAACACATTGGAAATGCAGAGTCAGTTGAAGATGTGACAAATGAAATAGATCCTCAACTTGTCTTTAACAGAACTTCCATTGACAATATCACACCAACAAATCTAGCCCAACCTATCCATAATCAAGATCTTTTTGATAAGTCAGAAGTAGGGGTAGATAAAGAGCAGGTCAAATTAGATCAAGGGTGTCGGAAAGAAGGAAAACACAGTGTCGATACAGGAAATATCCCTCCTGATTCCAGGATTCTACTTGGTAATAGATCAGACTATTTCTCTTCACCAGATATACGTTCTAAAGATGGTCATGAACATGAGCAGGGTGATGTCACTAGTGATTCCACTGAGACCCAGGTTACTAATTTGTCTGGTGAAGAAACTGGTGGCATCACTCTATTAGAGGTTTCTCCGGCTTTTGAACCTCCGCCAGATGTTGCTTCATCCTCCGAATCCTACTAAACACAAAATGTTAGTTTTACTAGGACAAGAGGGGGAGAATAGTCAAGACTTCCAAATACCTGAAACATTATTGTAAATAGCTGATATCTGTGACTACTATTTTTATGCTTGATAAATGTACATTTTCAGATAAATCTTTTAAATCTTTTCTTGCAAATAATTTATATTTGATTGTTGAAAGAAGTTCACACTTCATTAACAAATTGTTTTTACACAAGCATCACGATACCTCAACATCCCTGCACATATTCTCATTCTTATCTGCAATCAAAATGCCAAAGATTTCTATAAGATTTAACTGTGTACATGTATATATTATTTTATATTTTTATGCTGACATTTCATTAGCATGTATGCACTCATTATGATGTTTACACATCTCGAGTGTAGCATGCATGCATCAGTCTTCATTATTAACATGTTTTTATTTTCAAAAAAATCAATCACGAACTATTTTGGATGTTTACACATCTTTTCTGGTTCGTTTAAAAAAAAAAATATGTGTACATATTTGTAATTTAAATGTATAAAATACTATACCTTGCCGTTTTTATAAACGTTGTACTTTTTATGTCCTTTAGCCTCGATGAAAAGTTGCAAAAGTTTAAAAAATTTAAACCAGCTGTACTAAATTGACGCATGTAATTTAATAAGTAAATACTTTTCCTACATGAACGGGGGGAATGTAGTATAAATACGTTAATTTACATCGGGTTCGGGGTTGGTCTATATGATTACAGGTCACCTATTTTTAGCGCCTTTCTTCTACCCGACACTGACGAGCATAGACGCACCTTCGTCCCTCTCTGGTGTCCTCGGGGTTTGAGGCCAGTCTTACCCTTGGTAAGCTTGTTTGTATTTAGTATATAGAAATATACAACATCTCTTTCCTCGTCTGAAATGTCGAGCACATCCACTGATTTCTATTTTGTTACGATTTTTTGCTTTAAATAATGACGCCTTTACCTTAATTCGGTTATTCTCGAGTTGTAGAGGGCAACATGACATTCGTTTAGTTATGCTAATTCAGTATATCGATGATGCAATGTATCCAATATGGATAGAATGCGCTTTACCGGTACGGCCGCCATTTTGATTCTAGATCCGCGCGTGAGAGTGCGCGGCTAAAAACTTAGCAACGTATCAACTATGATGGGCGACGCCATTTTGTTGTGTAAGAAACTCTCGAAGCGAGAAAAAAAGATATCTAAATGGGTTTTCGCTTTTTTAAGCGGGGGTGTGGGGGCGGCAGCCCCCAATACGTAAAAATAAATAAAACAAACTTACCTTAGTCGTTAGATAAATCTGCGTTAAGACTCGGGGCCATACGTACGTGTCACTATACATGTAGAACCATTGTGTCTTTTTTTGATGAGTTGTAAATACTTTTTTATGGGTGATGAAGGAGATAAACGTCAATTTTTAATTATAGCTACTATCCTAGTGCATTCTTGTTTTAGTAGAGATTTCCTATATAACTGCATTCCATGTGGTCTCAATGATTGTAAAGTATCCAGTGTTTTGCAAATTGAAATAGATAAATTTTCTGCCGTAAATCCAGGATTTACTGCAGCTCTGTTACCAGGAATCTAAGATGTATCTCTTACGTTTCATTTTTCTTATACTGCCGATTACTGTTTCTCGAAACAAGACCGTCCTCACTGCATGTTTACATGTTTTGCCCCTCCAGTTATTCAACATTTCCATAAAGTAAGGATCACATTTATCGTTAAAATTTCCAAAAATTATAGAATGTTGCAGTCAGTCAATTAAAAATATCCATTCATAGAAAACACAACACAAATCATCTTAAATAAGGTGCATGATGAATCACTGTTTACAATCAAAAAGAGTGGAAGTCAAACTTTCTATTTCACGTCACCTACCCTGACCAATCACAGCACTGAAATAAGTCACGTGCTTAACAACGTCACGACTTTGGAATGTGGCCGACAAAATGAAAGCCAAAGGTTTGTTTTGAAAGTGCTTTTAGTTTTAATTAATAACTTCGTTAATTAAACGAAGTTTATTAACATGAAAAATGACGAGGAATTCAAAAAATAGGTTATTTTTGCATTTTATTGCCTTTTTAGCGAAATCGTCACGCTGACGCGTGACTCTCTTATAGAGAAAGAGCACGTGCTATTTCCATGTTATTTGGACGTACCGGTAAAGTGCAGTTGTCCCTCCAATATATAAATAACTGTCCCACCTGTCTGTTTACGCGGTAACGAAACTCACCTCCTCAACGAAAGAGCGCACCAAGGGAGATAATCTCGAAACTTGTGTATTGGAGGTTCATATAGCAAACATTCAGTGAGGTACACAAGAGGAGGTACTATAATCGTTGGTTGGAAGACTTCCTTTGGATTTAGCTGAGTTTATCTCTCTACATATATGGTGATACACAGGTTCCGGGCGGAAACCAAGAGGAATTGGGCAGGAATTTGAGGCGAAAAAATGCAAATGAGCTACGCCTGAAAAAATAAATGACGCCGGCCCGGAAAAAAAAATAACGCCTGCAAAATGACGCCTGGATTAGAGTTACGCCTGGAATTTATATAATAGCATATGTGACCTAAAAACCTATATATTACGTACAATATTATGGTCCATATCTAGAGTTGTCAGGACGGACACGATGCTACCAGGAACAACTACATGTAGTCTACTGATCACTCCGAGACACAAAAACTCAGAGCGTTACAATTTGGATTTACACAGTGCTGGCTCAGATGTTTGGTGAAGGTATTAGTATATTGCTGCAGAAATAAGAGAAGTTGACGATTAAAAAGTTAGAGTTACCACGTTTATCATAACGTCTTTTCCAGCAAAATATCCAAGTATGAAACAGATGTGTTAGACAATGTGCGGTATCTTTTATTTCAAGCTCATCGAGATATATCGTGTCGACACAATGGAAATAACTATTGTTAATTGACAGTATGTTGTCGATAAACCTACTTGACAGAAAGTAAAAAAAAAAAAAAACAAGAAAACAAATAAAGCCAATAAAATCAGGAACAGAGTAAAAATGGACCACTATAAACTTCAGAGTTTGGATCAGGTGCCCTGGAGGAGTGAGCATCCCCTGTCTACCAGTTACAATCAGCCTCCTTTTCATAAATGGTCAAAAGACAAAAAAATCCTAATACAATTCAATCAGAATGTGTAACTAATGACCAAACAATTAACAATGAAAAACGTAAGCCAGCATATGACTTTATGATAAAATGTATTTACTGACAAGGTAATTTGTTTTGGCCGTAGAAATTGCGAAAAATTGACTTCAAATGAGACTGTTCAGAAATTAATTTTTGAACAAGATGAAAAAAAAAACATAAAGTAAAACTTTAAATGATATTAAAAAGATCAAGGAAGATCAGAATGTATAGCTAAATTACGTTTATGACATAGTGCATAATTATACAAATTGTACAAAAACATGTACAAACAATTCCACATGAACAAAATTGATAAATATTTTTCATAATAAATATTTTTACTATAGGCAAATATACAGTACTAATATCTAAAAACAAAATTTTTCCGTGAAATTTGACTTACTACCATATACAAGCAGACCTTATATAAAGATGAAACAAAATAATTCTTGAAAGTAATTTAGCAATTTAATCAATAAATAATCAAGTAAAAAATATGTTCATTTAATTCCCAAGAAGCAGGGGTTTCAAACTAGCTTGAATAGTTGGCATAAACCATATGATTCTGTAGATACTCCGCTATAAGATCATGACAGAATTGGAATTCCTCCTGTGTAGATAAAAGAGATGAAACTGAATTATAACACCATAAACAATTAACAAGAAAAAATTAAAATGCAGCTTTTATAATTTGAATGTAATAATTCACAAAAGAATTAAATATCCTTCATTCAAAAGTAATGAACAAGGTTTAGTTTTTGTGAAAGACGAACAGACTGTCAGAGGGACATATGAATGAATTTTACTGTCCTTTCTCTTTCGAGAAAGCGAGGTACACTCATGAATGTAGCATATACATGTATTTCGGCGATTACACTTACAGTAGTTGATACCATGTCAGGCCTACGGATTTGTATCAGTCGTGTTGCTGTGAAGATATCAACCTCTTTGTCAAGGATGAGTTGCTCAATTGCGTTGTAAGCAACACAAAATGGACCGCAACGTTTTGCACCATCACTGCAATTAAAGTTATTTGTAAAATCATATTTGAACATATTGCCATATTTTTCTACAAAAACAATCCTGTCAAGTTTTTGATAGCAGGAAAAGAAAGAATTTTTTATCAACATTATCCATACCTTGACAGAACTAGTAGTCTACTATTCGGATGGGTAGTCTCTTCAAGTCTGGCTTCTGCGATAACATCCAGAACCTTTTGACAATCAGCAGTAATGGTGTCCTCCCTCCAAAAGTTGCATTCCAGAACAGAAACAGCTATATCTTTAAAGCCCTAACATAATAATATGTAAAATTACTACATGAAGTCCTGGCATGTATTTTAAACAATCAACGAAGAGAGAGAGAGAGAGAGAGAGAGAGAGAGAGAGAGAGATTGTACAGAGAGAGAGAGAGTACCTTTTTCTGTATGATGATATTTGTTTTCGTGAAAGAATCAGAGGGAGTACAGATTCTCATTTTTACTGTGAAACTGCCAACGACCTTAGTCTCATTCTTAGTTGGAAACCAGAATTTCGTCTACAAAAAATAAAACAATACATAAAGTACTGAATCTGAAATATTAGGTATTTTCAAACATATCAAAATTAATTAATACTATACCGAGGATATGTCTGAAAGTTGCCCTAGAAAAACTACTGTAGATGCCCCACTCCCTCGTACCACGTAAAGAAAATCTTCACATTGATTCTCAGCTGGGTATGAGGCACTTATAATTCCGTCAGGTTTAGTAAAACTCTGCAAAGAAAATAAATTCAAAATACATGCAAAGTATAATGTAAAATGACATCTCTTTTATAGGAGAAATATAGGATTTTAGTAAAAAGGAGTTAATTGTCTTACTCACCTGCAAAACAACAGCATTATAGTGTACTGGTTTTTCATCGTCGGAGAGCACGTAGCACTTATATTTCTCACCTATATTGAAATAATATAGAGTTAATTTTCTATCTTTACCTGGTTATATACTTCTGAACTATGTTGAAATAATATAGAGTAAAGTTTACATTTATACTTGGTTGTTTAGTTAGCTTTTTTTCTTGAAAACAAACTACAAAAGAATTATATTGGTTTTCATCGGATATATACTAGTATTTAGCGTGCATGGTTTAATTTAACAACCAATCAAATGATAAAGTTAAAAGTATAAATAATTGTGTATGATAGTTTTTATACCAAGCAAACTGAGCGACAAACAAACAAACCGTGACTGCATTTAAAAAGATGAACAGACCTGACATTTCCTCGTCAGAGTCAGTAAAACTGGCACCTAAATTTGTATGTCCAGATTTGCCATATTTTGCAGTCTTGTGTGGATTCAGAGAGCTAAGTTCCTGGTGAAAAAAGAAAATCATACATATGTACTTAATTTATCATATTTAAAATATACATTTGTACTTATCGAAAAATATATGCAAACGTAGTTGGATGCAAGTAAGTTTTTTTATATATACTGTTATACACTCTGAAATAATTACTACACAGTGGATTAAAACTGCATCTGAATTTTTAAAATCTTCTTTCCATCCCATTTAAAGAATTAGTAAGAACACTAATATAATGTATTAACCTTAAACTGATCTTCCACAGGTGTTTTCTTATTCGCTACCTCTCCAAGGTTGACGTAACAAGAGGAGTTTTGATATTGTGAAAGGAAAGTCTCAGCATCAACAGGTCGTAAATCTCCCCTGAAGGATTCATATAAAGCAGCATACACCATTTTATATTGATCCTGCAAGTATAACAAATGATAGCATTTTTTGCAGGCAATAGCATGGAAAACATTATTTTTTATACTCTGAATTTCTAGTTTTAAATCACCATTAGACAATCGTTTCTCATATTTGCTTCAATATGTGTATCTTTAAAGATGTATTCTGTTTTAAAATGTATTTGGGATGAACAAGTACCTCTCCTTGTACCATGTTCATCCTGTCATGACGCATTTGTGATACATATTCCTGTACATTTACAGACCCTGAAGTCAGACCGTCCCGGTAGAGGGCGTCCAAAGCTATAAAGGTACCCGTTCTCCCAATGCCAGCACTGAAATAAAATTAGAAATATAATAACTAAGGTAAAAGGGAAGATGAGAAAATGCTTTAAATTATTGGTGAGAAATCAAATATAATTGTTGTGAACTATATTTGAAATTATTGTAATCACTTATATTTACATCTTGAGGATACTTACTGTATTTTGCAACGCTATTTTGTGAAATATTTTTTCTCTAACCTGCAGTGTACTAAAATGATAGATTGAATAGAATTCCCTGAAACCGATCTCAGGAAATGCCGATGGAAAATGACAAGGTTTATAGCTTCAGGAACCCCATGGTCAGTCCACTGGGTGTACTGAAACATCCGCACGTTTCTCTCTTTGTTTTCCTGCATAAAAAGGGTCAGAAAAAGGTGAACTCGAGATTAAATATACAAGTGATTTTTTTGAAAATCCTGCGGTTAATTTCAAAATGTTTATGTACTAAGTAAAATATATACACTTAAATAGCTACACTTTGGTATAATTTCAATCCTGGATACTTACAGCAACATTTTGTACATGAAATTTCCTCGTCACATGATTTGCATATGACTTTTCTTCATTGTTACGAATTGTAAAGTGTCCGTGTTGGATTTTTTCACTTTTGTTTGGCCAATATTGTTTACATTTTTCCTATTTTAAGAAATGAAAATTCATCAATAAATAGCCGATAAGTATGAATTTAGAAGAGATATTGAAAATAATTATAACCTTGAAAGACCCAGCTGTATTGGATAATCAAAACACAAAATCAAGTAATATCATTTATCGATTTTGGATTATGATAAATCGTGTTTTTTGACAAAGCTTTATCGACCATACATTGCGAATAAATACGTAAAAGAGACAGTTGAAGCTTGTTCGATAAACTTGGATGCTTTATTTTTTATTCTTTTAATGCATCTTTAAATCTAATTAAAATAAATCAATCACATGTTTTACAAACCCTTGTCCCTTCTTTCAGATTTGTCAAGCAAACAATCGTTGTAACTTCTTCTTGCCATACCATTTCCCAAAAGTCAATTATTGTTTTCTTTTTTGGGCCTGTATAAAAAAAGAGAGTGATTTATATACAAAAAAAATTAAAAAAAAAAAGTTTCTGAGGACTATATGCTATTTCTTGGCTGAATAAATCTTTATGTTTCCTTCACGATTATGCAATAAATTGTTTTTCATACCGAAAATATTCGAGGAGGTGGAATATGATGAAAAGTACGCCGACGACAGGGAAATTGACATTTTATGGTCCTGTCTTGTATAACAATCATACAAACGCATTGTATGGAATAATTATAATGAGGTATAATAATATCATTCTGATTAATATTAGATCTTTGATCAGTTTCAACAAAGATGTAGCAATCTAGTCTGGGCGGATCGAAGACATAATTTTATTAAGATCGTAATATTACTTATTCAGAATGATTTTCAAAAGCATGTATATTAAAATTATCTTACCTTGGGTAGCAATATATTTCTTTTCTCCAGAAAGGTCCTATTTATAAATCAATGCGAATAAAATATCAATTTTCTGAATATGAAAGGTACAATTATCCCTATCAAAAATACGATAGTAAACTATTGTTAAGTATAGTTTGCTAGAGTTAACTATAATACCAAAGTAAAAAAAAAAATAGAACTTTGATTTATTATAGTGGAAAACTTCGGAACTTTGATAGTATTATAGTACTATAAATCCTTGAATTTTTTAATTCCCATTTTGTATATTTTATTATTATTCAAGTTTAAGATTCATTAACGCTTCAGAGAACTTAAAACCTGACCCGTCCCTTAAAGAATAATGTGCAAGAAATTAATTTTAATACAAAGTTTGTTTTTTGCGCCGATAAATAAGCAGTATTTATTTACATCTATCTAATTTAATGCAGACAAAACATTGGTCTTAATTTTGGAGAAAAAAATAATATGCTATAAAATAAAATTTGCGTCATTTAAAATCAAAATATTTGCTTCATCAACTTTAGTCAACATGTATATTTTAATATTATTTTTAATGTGAATATGGCAATTGAATTTTTAAATACAGATGTGCACAAAAAAAAACCAGCCCCAACCAACCCATTTCCAATCCCCTTAAAAAGTTAAATAATCAAAAAAATTGATAAACATACACACGTTTTTAAACAAATAAACAAAACTTTAACACTTTCATTTATTATAATAGTAAACACTTTGGAATTTTGATTTACAATAGTAAAAACTTTGGAACTTTGATTGACTACAGTAAAAACTTTGGAACTTTGATTTACAATAGTAAAAACTTTGGAACATTGATTTACAATAGTTAAGACTTTGAAACTTTGATTTACTATAAATAGTTAATTATAGTATAGAATTTTTTACTAGGGATTCTGCAGAGATTAAAAATAGAGAATAACATGAATAAGTGAGTCATGGAATACCATTATGAGAAGTAAAGAAGTAAATTACGAAAACTAAGTATATAGAATTCATATCATGACATCTGGAAGTTAATTATTATTGGGAATTGCTCAGGAAAATTAGCTTATTACTATACACGTTTGTTTGAGGGGGGGGGGGGGGCACTCCCATCATCTTTTGTGTAATTTACGTCACAACCCTTCATGGAAATACAATGTATGTATTTTTAGTATGTAAATTGTGAAAAAATATATGTGATAAAGATAAAATTAGGACAAGTTACATGCATGCACATAACAGGGAAAGATTACTTAAATATCGTCTTTTGTCTCATCCAATGGTTTTTTTCCTTTTGTTTGATAAATCTGTTTGAAGTTGTCATGTTTGATTTATATTATATTTATTTCAAAGGAGTTAATGGCTATGCATGCACAGACGAGCTCACTTTTGATCTCAGTCTCACTTTTCCACTATTCATTTCTTTGAAGAAAGTGAGACTGAGATCGAAAGTGGGCTCATCTAAGTTTTATGGCCCCCAGGCCTGTTTTAAATATTTACCAGACATCTATTTTAGTCTTAGCCCTGTCCAGAAAAAAAAGTCATTGTCTTGAACTCGGTAAGAATTTATCAAGTATTTCATGTTGATTGTTTTTTTTTAATCCACAAAAAAAAAAAAACATCATATGGTCAATTATGAACAAGTCCTTGTCATTTTTACTTGGCAGGAGTATATAGTAATTAATTTACCTTAATGTAGTTAGCATTGATATAACTATTGTTCTTGCTAGATTCCTGTAGAATGACACGAGTATGATCGTCTGGAATGAATGAGACATAAAAAGATTATACGCAATATTTCTTTCTTAATTTTGAATTGGTTTTGATTTCCAGTTACACTTTCATTTTCATAAGAAAAATTTGTTTCATAAAAATTCAAGTTATATATAATTATATATATTTCTTAATTGTAAGCAGCTTTACCTAAAAAGAAAACCTTGTTATTATGTGACTTCACATATGAAAATATGAACAATTAAATGATACCAAAAGTATTACTTCTCTCTTTAAAAATCTTCTTATTTATAAATTTTCTTTTGAAGAGTTAAAAGTCTCAATGTCATAACCAACAAATTGTAAACGCGGTCGTCTTCAAACTTATAATAACATATAAAATTATATACTAAAACTTTATTGTATTGATTAGGACCTAATATCTTACAGGGAAATGTCGTCGTGTATCTGTTTTTATCTTTGTTTTCTTCTCTTTGTCCAACTTCACATGAATGTAATTCACCTTTAGGAATCTCCTAGATAAAATGTAAAAAAAAAAAAAAAATTAAAGATGTCATTAAATACATTCCCTGATAATGGCAATTAAGAAATATAGAAAAACTTTATACCTCATTTAGATATTAATATCCTAAATGAACTTTTTTTTATGATTCATTCAGATTTAACATAATCTTTTGTGTAGCTAAAACTATAATTTTACAAACTAAAATAATCTACTTTAGCCTTTATACCATGTACTCTTCTTTAAACCCTGCATTTTCCTGAAGTGACAATTTCCTTATTGTTGTCCAGAGATCTTTTATTTGAATACACCCTTGTTTTTTGTTTAGGTTAGTCCTTTTGGGCATCTCATTTTTCTTTGAATGTATTTCAACTTCTTCTAAAAAAAATAAACAAAAACATTTGTCTCTTGAGAATATTCACTTTCCCGTTCCAATTTCACATTCCTTTATTTACGTCGTAAAATTTATATAAAGAGTACGTAAAATAATGAGGTGTGTTTCTATCTGAATAAAAAGTGTTATTTTTATTGCTTTTCGAGTAGAATTTATTATCTGGTTATATTTGAAACGAAAAATTTATAGCCCGATATATATGTTTTAATTTTTGATACCTTATGTACTTATATTTACATTTGTGACTTCCGACAATTTCTTTACTTTATAGTTGCTTTTCTTCTCCTGAAAGTTTCAAAAACCTTTCAACGTGTCACTATATAGCATTATATTTTATTAAACCCAACGGCAAGTGTGTAATCCACTGAAAGCGCGTCGACGGAAGTTTATGACGTCACTGAAAAAATTAAATAAACGTTTATCCATACGCACATTTTTGACCTTGGTTCTCTGAAACCTGTATTTATACAGTTATAGATACACATTGCTTTCAGTAGTGTTATATAAAGGAAAACATTTGCAAATGTAAATATATGTTAAGAACTTTCCGCTCCCAATTTCACTTTCCCTTACGTCGAATGATTTATATAATATAGATTACATTAAAGTATGAATTGTATTTCTCTCTGAAATTTTAGATTTTTATCATTTTTGATTTGTTTTCGATTAGATATAAGTCATTATTTGATTACACTTAAAATAAAAGATGATAATATCTATAAATATACCATGTATTAGTTTATCTTCATGAGTGTTGTGCAACACATGACTTTGCTTTATACTGTCTCATCCAAATTACATGACTCCACGTCCCATTTTTCTTTGTTACGGATCTCGCTTTTCGTCTCCTTTACAGTAAGAAAAAATTATTTCAACAGGTTATTTAATGACGACTTTTATCGGGGGAAGCAAGTATGACGTTGTTATGTGCAAAATGAAAATTGCAACGTATCATAACTAGATTACATGAATCCATACCATATGAATACCACCACAACTACCACGACCATAACAACTACTGCTACAACACCACCGATAGCACCATATGTAGCATTTTCTTGGTTTGTCTCAGATGTTTTCACTGCGGATCCTGTAACATATTTTTATCTACCAGTTTAGATATCGTTGACCTGAAGTTAGTAAGTGTAATTATTAACAGTTACCTAAAAGCAATTTTACCTGGATATACCGGTATATGCATTTTTTTCCTGACATACAAAGGTAAACTATTTTGTGCAAAATAAATTTTATCTTACGTATGCAGAACATATTTAAAATTCTTAATACAATATTTCAAACATTCAACGGAGGTGTGAAAAACCAGTTCAAATAAACCACTTAAAATATTATTGTAAAAATATGTAGATTCACCTTTTATTTTCTGACACATATGACCCTCATAATTTTCTTGACAACCACTAGGACAACTCCCATTTATAATGTTACACTGCTCGTTATTCAGACAGTTGCAGATTTCTTCACAATTGTGACCAAACTGTCCAGAGGAACATGCTGTAAATAAATCAAGGACAACACGCACTTTAACATGTTGTAAAATCAAACGTATATCAATGACCACATTCAAATGTATCTTGAATCTGACGAATTATAAAAGTTGTTGTCTGAAAAGTATGTAGTATTAAAATAAAACCTTATTTATCATACCTTCGGAACAATTTTCCCCCCTCCATCCTTTGTTGCATTTGCAATGTCCATTTATTTTATCGCAATTATCGACGCAATTTAAAGAACAGTTCTGCAAACAATTTTTGCCGAAGTTTCCTTGGTCACACTCTAAGAATTAAAACCGAAAGTCATTTAAACCATGCTCAATCACTCAACTAACCAATTACCATAATAACAACAATGGGAATATTTCGCGAAAAAAAATCTGTTTTTCCAACATAAAAAAAATTTAATTACAAGTACAAAGAAAAATGTTTTCAAATAAGAAATTATATGTTTGATCAAATAGACTTAACATAGAACTTACTGGAATCACATTTCTCTCCTTTATATCCTGCCTGACAACCCTGAGTACAGTGACCGTTGACATGGTGACAGGTTTGATTGTCCATACAATGTCCACGGCACGTTTCGTTACACATAATACCATACGTTCCATCACTGCATTCTGGAGAAAATAATAAAAGTCGAGTTGTGAAAGAAACATAATTACGTTGTTTTTTCATAACACATTGTCAAAAAAATGACATCGAAAGCTTTGCGTTTAGTAGTAATCTTTTAGCAATACTGTATTGATGCCCAGATTTCGGGTATATATATATATATTATATGCATTTTAATATAGTATATATTTTTATCCAGGTCTCATCACCAGTAACTAACTAATCAATAGTCTTTTTAATTTTGTTAATCATCCCTATTTAATTTTAATAATTTAATTGCTTTTACAACACGGACCTTCTTTTTCATCGCTAAGAATATCAGGTATCAATCTGCATTTACTTTTCTTAGCTTTAGATTTTTCTTCAAATAGCACGAGTAAGTGCTTTCGACACGTTTGTCATCTGAGCCGATTGCTGCACGGTATATCTTGCTTCTTTATGTAAGATTTGGTGGATTTTTACGGTGTTAATTTTGTTTAAATGAAATAAAGAACATTGAACTAATCACTCTCTACTAATAAAGTATGGTAAAATTTAATCTGTTTATTTCACATGATTCACACACACAACAAAAATAAACTGCTTGCATTATATTATTTTTCTATAAAATATTCCTGGTTATCATTAGATATTTATGTGCAACTTACTTTCATTGCAATCATCTCCCATCCATCCAGATAAACAACCTTCACAATAACCAGTCACGTGATTACATGAAGTATTATTTCCACAATGGTCTGCACATGTATTCTTGCATTCGGCGCCGTATTTACCAGCTGGACAGGCTAGAATATTGAACATAATAAATTGTAAATTATTTGTATTCAACATATAAAAACAAATACTGTTTGCACGTTTAGAGTGGAAATGTTATTTACTTGTTTTTTTTTCACAGAAAAACATACATTGTTTTCCAGTAATAGTATAGCAAGACATGACATTTTTATCTAATAATTTTTTTATGTGAAATACTTTGTAGATTCTTATTTTAGTTTCAGTGAGACAAGAAAAATACACAAAAACTTACCATCTAAGCACTTTTCTCCGATCCAACCATCTTTACATCCAGCACAGGTACCGTTGGTTATGTAACACCTTCTCTCCTGACAGTTTGTAGGACAGGTCTTATTACAGAAACTTCCATAAACAGTGCCGTTGTCACAACCTTTGAAACATATGCATTTGAATCTCAAAGTATCGCATCTCTTACTCAAACATAATATTTATTTTTTTTATTAAATTTCGTCAAAGGAATTCGTTTACTTCAAGTGCATAAAAAGTGAGCTGACCATGCACTGGACACATACCTTTGAGTGGACACCTTTAAACAATAAACATGCATCAAACCTGAATGTATCTGATTTCTTGACTCGTTCCTCTTTCAACGCCGAAGTTTTAAAAATGGTGTTATAACCAGATCCATTGTGAATTCTGGCTAATTCCCAAACTTCCAGGAGTAAGTCTTAGTCCTTTTTACTCTGCAGTCTTGTCTACCAATCATTAACCGACCAGACACAAACTTCGTTGTTATGATATTTTGTCAGTAAATAACATAAAAGTGTGTCATAAATTCATATTTTAATCACATTTTACAAATTGAGCTTCACTTGGATAATATAAGGTCTGTAGCGATATTGCTAGAGTTTCTTAATTTATGGGTTTGCCCGATGCATGGCGAACTCACCCTAACATGCGTTCAATAATCTTCAATAGAAATAAAATTACCTTGTACAACAACCTCACAAAGCTGTATGTATCTTTGTATTGGATTGACCCCGTTTGGATACGTCACACCTTCATCTCTTTCGTTGTAGAAGATTACATATCGTCCAAAAGAAACACATGCATGAGTTACGTTAAGATCGGGTAACTCCGGCCCTGTATGACTGAAACACAGGTAAGCCTTTTGTAGCAGACTGAAATCTGTACTGTTAGAGATGTAGAGTTTGTATCCATGCATACGTTCTCTCTGTCGTTGTTCTATTTTTCAATTTGAAAAAAAGAATGAAAAATATATACAACATTTAACGATAGCAACACACTTCACAAAGGACGATACAAGCGACGCAAAAATGCATCTTTTGGTTTGTTATCGTATCTTTAATTGTCGTTATAATTCAAAATTTGATGGCAGACAAATTTGCATCATAGCTTTTGACCCTTACATCGCGGGTTCAAATCCCACTGTGGGAGTGGTATACGGTCCTTTGGATGAGACCTATAAACAGAGGTCCCGTGTAGAAGTAGATCCCTCACTGCTCAATGATTCTAAGTGATGAGTATAGGTCAAAATTTACAGCTCTCTATCGGCAAATTGTTTCGTCTCCATATGAGTGATAAATTTTCCATTCAATCAGACAACACACTACGTCTCTTTTTAGTGAAATATCTAAAAATGAAACGGATGTGTCAGACTCTGTGGTCGATCCTTTTTATTTTAGTTCGACAGGTGATGCTTACTCATTCCTAGCACCTAATCCCACTTCTGTTAATTTTGTATTACTCTCGATTTGTAGTGTTTCAATGGACCTTTGAGTTTAATTACTGTTAACTCTTATTTTTGCTTTTTTTTGCATTCATTTTTCTGCATACTTATGCAACAAATTGGGGGAGATAACTCTTGCAATTTCAAAAATGAGTTGTCTTGTTATATTATAGCAACATTCAACTTGATTGTTTGAACTTTTTAAATGTAAAAACTAAAATCGCTTACTAATATTTCTTTTTTTACTATAGATATTCATATAATGCAACTGCGCATTTATTGATAGTAAATTTAAATCCCTGAAGTATCATATTAGCAAATGAATTAATTCTTATGTTGTCTCTTGAAAAATGTCAAAGAAAATTATAGAATAAAAATATGAATAATGGAACAAAAATGAAGCCAGTTTTGTTTCTTGTTAGTGAAAATTTAAATTAAGGCATTTTTAACCCTCATAATTTTAATGTTTCAAGGTAGAAAACTGCATTTGTTTTCCCTTCATTATACCTAAATTAACATATACAGTGTAATTGCAAAGCATATGAATGTTACCCTACATTTTAAAGTGAAGGATATGGAGATAACGAACAGTATTCAAGATCAAAGTCCATGAAACAATACAAAATAGGAGCAGAGCAAACACGCACCTCCAAAACATCGGAAGTTGGATAAGGTGCCATGGAGGAGTGAACATCTCCTCTCGATCGGTCACACCCGCTGTATGATGATAAACTATTGCATAAAGATAAAAGTGTGTCAAGGCAAAGACGTGTACGACTACCACGCCATTACGATACTTCTACTTATAGCGAAATGTTCCTTTAAAAAAGCTAACAGAACAAAAGTATCCCGGAGTTTAATAACTTTTTTTGAGCAAATGATATAGTTGAAAAACATTTTTATGCCTACAAAGTGCTGCTAGAATCCCGCTGTCCAGGTTACTTGATATACACGTATGATATTCACGTATGACGTCATCGGTGGTGGATTTTAATTGAAATTGACAGATACAGCATAAGAAAATAAAAACAAAATTTCATTTTTGTTAATGTTTAAATGTCTCTATTCATTATGACTCTACCTTAAATTACATGTCTAAATACCAATATCACGAAAACATGTGTTCTAGAATTGACGTCATCTTGTCTACTATAACGTCATAATGAATCACCGATTTAGTCCAGTTAGTTAGAATATTCTCTATGCTTCCTTATTACCCCTGCGTTAGAAACGTCTATTTCAATTTAAGTAAAATATCCAAGCATGACACAGATGTAACAAAGTTTGAATTATATCTTTTATCTCAAGCTCACCGGGATATATCGTATCAAGATGGGAATTTAATGGAAATTACTAATGTTAATTGACACTGCGTCGTAGATATATGTAAATGTCGAGCTGAAGGCCACAGCAAATGTTTTCTTCTTTTCACGCATAAAATTTTGCACAAGTTCTGTTTCATATGAATACAAAAATAGGTCTGCTAATAACAGAGTGCAACTAGTACCCATGGGAATTCCAATAGATTGTTGGAAGACCTGGTCTCCAAAAACCACATAAATATTGTCAATCAGAAACTAAAGAATTTTCTTGATGTCAACTTGAGAGTACTTGTGTGTGCAATCAGAATGTGTTTTAACAAAATAATTTTGCAAATGAACGATGGCTAATAAAATAATAAGCAGAACTATACTGCATATACATCAACACTAAATAATCGTAAATTAATAGTGGAAATTATTTAAAATCTGGTAAAATACATTATTTTGATGTTAAAACTCCACAATCGCTTATCTCTATGAATTTGAGCTGTAAATACCCCGGTATCAGGAAATAATTTTACATTAGAAGTAAAATAAAGAAAATGTCTGGATAAAGATATACGAAAACGAGATATTGCCCTTAGTAATATTTTTTTAAAAATCAATCATAGATTTATTTTCTATTAGGCATGAATTTAAATCAATGATTTTTTTTTGTAAAAACTACAAGAGAACTACAAGAGAATGGAAATACGTTAAGGCATTTTCCCTCAAAGGTACTTAGATACAGATTTGAACAATACATTTTTCAAAATCTCTGTATAATATCCCGACTTATATAATAAAATCCCGATATTACAATGGCATTTCACACGGAAACATAATAAAAACCTATTTTATCTTAAATTTTTTGAACCATGAAATCTGGGACGCGTTTGTTTTACACGCCCTTGCACTTTATACATTTTAACTTTATCCTTAATATAAGAAAAGCAACAATTTTGTTGTAAAATAATGAAGACAAATAGAGATAACGTACAGTATTAAAGATAAAATTAAAGATAAGAAGTCCATAAAATAATACAAAACAAGAGCACAGCATTATTTCACTTTTTAAAAACAATTCTTAATCAATGCTGCTTTAAAAAAAATATACTGGTATTTGTACACTTACTGATTGTTTTAAAGGATATGAATAGATAATTATGTATTCATCCAGCTTTGTCAGTAAAACATGTAAAATTGGCCATAATTTCAGTAAATACATGAATTCCCCAGCTATTCAGTAATTACATGAATTCCCTAAAAGGTCAGTAAATACATGTCTTTTCTGAATTGTTTTGGAAAGTCATAAAATTCCTGATTTCATATACATGTATTTAATGTAATATATATAATAACAACAAATTTAAAAGTCAATATTTACAATTCAATGTTTACATGACAAAAAGACTTATTACCTTGAGAATTCAATATGCCAGTTATACATTATGCAGATATAGCAGATGTTTGGTTTTTTTTAAGTTTGAATAGCCTCAATTACAGAAAAGATGTAGGAGATGGGTCTTACAATTTCAAAAATTGCTGTTTTGGTCTTCATTTTAAGGGACCGACCGGGGTTTCCATTGCGCAATATTTTACGCATGATAGTAAAATGAAGTGTATATATTTACTGTTTCAAGCAACTTTCTCAACTAAATTAAACAAAATTTACAAAATTTTAAGAAATTAAAGGTTAAAAAATTTAATAACAATTTGATTACTGATTTTTAAACCAAAATATCGCCACAGACTATTACGACAATCTACCAATCAGTCTAGCTGCAGTTCTGTAGCTCTCCGAAAAAAATTATTGATAGACCGGAGAGCTACAGAGCCACCCATTGAAAAAACTGTATATTTATTGCGCACAAAAAAAATGCGCTCGGTTCTCGATTTATTTCTCCATGTTTTTAAAGCTGTAGTCTCAAAATATTACTAACCGTGTGTTCCTAACATATTCTTTGTCTCTTTCCACAACAAAACATTCCTCATAATTGTTGTTAATACTCCTCCTGGCCCTGATATTGCAATCATCGGACATTTCGCTTATTTATACTGCCATTTTGGTTTCAAAGATAATTCGGTCCAATATGCTTCGTTCAGATGTCAACTACGAGAGAATTTGATAGAGGAGAGAGGAATTTTTTGAAATCTTCCATTTTTTGCAACTGAGGTAGGAATTTGGAAAAATTAATCAAGAATCGAGCGCACTTTTTTGTGCGCAATAAATATACAGTTTTTTCAATGGGTGGCACTGTAGCTCTCCGGTCTATTAATAATTTTTTTCGGAGAGCTACAGAACTGCAGCTACCAATCAGTCGAAAACATGTTTTTGACGTTCTGATAAACTGAATCTCTAAATGTTATAAAAGAAAAGGTATCTTAAAACTATATGCTCATGAAATTTAAAACTTAAATGTTTGTGAATCTTTTGATCATTTTTCTTATATCTCAGTACTTATCTTTTTTATCCGTTATAATTTGTTGTACTCCATAAAATAGGAGAATTTTTGATTTTCTTTTACATTTTGAGATGCCCCCTCTGGAAACCAGACGGTAGAATTTTGTGTTTCTTACATGCAATGTACAATATACGAGGGATGATCCACAAGTAATGTCATTGTGTCCATAGCTTTAATATTTGGCGTCATATTATCAAATACAATATACTAAAAGATGCACAATCATAAATCCTATTAACATTGAAATTTTCATCTAAGAATGTTTAAATAAATTTATTTTATAAACGTTTAAAAGAAATAACAGGGTGTCGCCGCGTCACACCCAAACGTCACGAATTGAAGTGTACTTTTTAAGAATGAAAAAGACAAACACATTAACTAAGCATCTTTTCAAAGCACATAACCTCCCAAAATTTTAAAAAGACAAAATTTACAATATTTTCTAGTCTTAAGTTGAAAATTAAATGACACCATTGCTATTTTTATCATACACATTGTTGTTTTTTACTTTGATGCATAGATCAAAGGAAATCTCGAAATGTAAGAAAATCGCCACATTAGTGACAACAAATTGTAATGCATTTTTGCTTTAAAATCTGGAAATCGGCAGTAGAGACAGTTATAGGTTGATTCACAAGTCTTACAGAGGAAAGGATGTAAATAAAAGTTGTTCAGATCCATTGTTTTACCGATTTTGGATGGTTGATGGGTCATTAATTGCTCAGCAAA